TTCGATTTTTTCATTATTGCGCGTTATATTAAAAAAAAAAAAAAATCTTATTCACCGTTCTGCGAAAAACCATAACAATCCAAATAAACGGTTTATGCTTTATAATATTATTGATATACAGTGGTATTGTCATCGGATTTTGTGAAAGTTAACCCCAACAATTTCTGAGCCTTGACTCTTCACAATCATAAATAGTTAAAGGAGGTTTCGTTGAACTATTGGAATACTATAAAAAATCTTTACAATTATATTCATAATTAATATTTTTTCCCTTGAATCTATGAAAAATTTCAAATGTAAACAAAATAATTTGATAATTATTATATTGGAATTATTATTTTTGTTAGTAGTAGAATACTCTATTATACAAGCATGGCCATCGCCAGGGGAGGAAACAATTGAACCTTCTTGCCCCTGGACCCAGTTAGAACAATTTAAAGAGGGTCCCCTTGAAGTCCAAATTGATTATAAATACTACTTACCCATTAGTAGAGATTATTGATATTATTTCTAAACTATTTTCTTTGTGAAATATTTAGAAATCAATTAAATTTATATTTAAACGATATTATTCAAGTTAAATGTTCAGCTATCCTAATGTCTATATAGCTATAACTGTAAATTATTATGATTATTGCCGAAGTGTGAAAAATGTCATAATTTTTTTCCAAATTTACGTGGACATTCGTTATTATTGACAAGACAACATTCAAGTTTTTATTTTCTATGACTGTTACAAATTATCTAGAAATAAATTACATTTTAATTAAATGTGGTGACTAATTATGCACTGTTGAGGAATTATTAAAATGTAATTAATTTATCGATGCATATAAATAACCTTGATTGGTTGAGGTTTACTAACCTTATTGCAAACTTGGAGTGTATTTTTTTATCATACTCGTTTTTATTATGATGACTGAGGGGCCACAAAATTTTCTCCAGGTTCTAAGAATCCTAAGGATGGCTCAGTATATGACTGAAAACATTAATTTAGATTTATCAAAATACAGATGTTTTATTTTTTTATTTTTTCTCTAGTTCATTATTTAAGAGTATTTCGTGTGTCAGATCATGCATTAGTTGCAGCACCAGTTATACTGCGAACAATAATAGTAACAACGGAAATAGTAATCACTATGACACCCAATAATGTATTATTATTTAATAAGGCATAAGCGAGCAAGTTTCAAAAATTAACTATGGAATCTTAAACCGATATAATATGATACTATTTACAGGACATATAGGCACGTATAATAGGCATATATAATATATAGGCACTGTAAAGTGATAACATCATATAATATTGTATAATATTGTTACGAACGGGTACGGGAATGCGTTTTTGATGCTGCGGATCGTATGTGTACATCGAAGCATCTCGTCGTTTATAATATGTGTTTGAACAGTCGAACAACGTTTTCGGCCCCCGAGCACTTCGGTCCTTTCCCGTCAATCGACTGTACATGATTTGAATACGACCCATACGGCTGCTGTTTGCAAAAATCGATGGACAAGAATCTCTAAGCACGAGTGTGTATACTTTATTTTTTCGATTTACGAGGAGTACGCGAACCGATATGGAATTCATAATGACTGTAAATTCGCGCTTTTGTGTGAGTGTACGTGAGCGCATGTACGCGTGTGAGTATGCGTCGGTGCATTTACGTGTGTGCGCATGTGGGTCGAGGAAAAGGTTAGGAGTAGAATAAAAATTGGAATGTTAAGTGGCTGCGGGGGTGGAAAAAAAACGAATAAAAACCATCTAAATAATATCAAAGCAATAAAACGAGAACACGAACTAAGAGTTTTTCATTTTTTTCTTTTCCTTTCTTTCTTTCTTTTACCTTCCTTCCTGTAGGTCCTCCCCGCTTTTCGTAATGCATTTTTCCTATGGTTGTTGTTATTATTATTATTGTTATTATTACAAGTGCATTGTTTCCGCAGGGAGGAAATTTAATTTTCTTACGCACGGGATGAGGTTACGGCACGCGCGTACGGTTCATGAATAACAAAACGGAAAACAAACTGGAAATCACGGAATCATACACTACCGCGGGTTTCCTTGCACGCGGTTCATCGTTAGCGTAATATTGTTGTCGTTGAGAATCACGCAAAAGTGTGCCGGTCAGACGCGTATCCAGGAACTTTTTATGGGGGGAGGGTCAGAAAATTTAAAGTTACTACTTGATAAAATATATAATATGTTGAAACAATGAATGAATTAATTTATTATGTATAAATAATTACAAAATATTAAACATTATAATAATTATTAATAAAATTCATAACACATATTATATTCGAATTACCAGGGTAAAAAAAAAAATATTATCACCTAATTACAATACTATATCAATTTTTATTTTTATCTTTTCCAATTCATCCAATACTTCTTCCGGTTCAACTTAAATTGTCCTGTTAATATTTAGCTGTTTCATATATTCATTATTATTATTTATTAACTCCCATTCGGTCAAATAGTATACATAAATTATACTATATAAATTAAATTACTATTTCAGGTTCATGGGATGGTTCTGACCCCAAACCACCATGGGATGGTGCCGATTATCACTCGAAGCATGTGTGCACATGCGTGGGTTCGCGATATTTGCACGTGTATCGTACGCAGCGGATGAACGGAAAACATAAATACGGGGGCTCCGCTTAGACGTCTAAAAGGATGTGCCAACGCATGGTTTCGGCTTTCAGAAAAAAAAAAAAACGGATCTGATTCTATGGAGTAACAATTAAAATTAGTACAGGAAAACAAAATTATATTTATATCTCATTGTTGTTTGATATTGATTGTTGACCGAAATACATAATTTTGTAAGTTGCTCGCTGTAGATACCGTCAGTAGATTCATATCTGTCAACCAGATTTTCGAATGAAAATCAAATATACTTCGGTTAAGCAGTTCATTGATCTTATACAATTTCTTCCCGCAAAATTTTCTCGTACAAACTTATAACGAGAGATGTTTGAGATGAACTCAATGCCAATTACATGCCAATATTTGAACGAGTATTGCTAGAAAATTTAATTAACTTTCTACAATCTGCCCTACTAGTCAAATAATACACACATAATTTATTATAATTGCAAGAGAAAAAATCAGAACGCTACTAATAAATTAAATTTTTCTAGTGAGATCTGAAAATAGAAAAAAATTAGTGTATATCAAAATGTTATTATTTACTATCAATTAAGAGTTTGTTATTTTTTAATCGAATGATAAATAATCTTTAAATAAATAATATTTGGCACATCATAATTCTAGTTTTTTGCCAGTCGATAATCAAATGATATATTTTTTGGAAGCATCTCGTTATTTTTTCCAGTGCTTTTTTCAAATCATGCTCATTAATTGTTAGTAGTGCAATATCCTCAACGAATCTTAAGAAGAATCTTATTTCGCCGCCCAATTTTATGCCTATGTAATTTCTTTGCAGGGTTTCTCTTATTACTTTAATAGACTGTAACCTTGTCTTACACCATTCCTATTATTTTCCCTTATTTTCCTTATTATCTTATCCTTTATTACTTAATATTGCTTTTGAATATTAGTTATATAAAATTATTCATTATATTAGTTAGTTTATAAAATGTAGAATTAATGTAACTATAAAACGAAAAAAAAAGAAAAAAAATTATTTGTTCATTGGTACTACTAATATTACGAACTATAAGAGTTGAATGAAATATTTATCTGATGAAGATTATAGAGTACACTAATGTAATGTAAGTAAAATTTAGTGAATAACATTGAATAAAATAATACGAAGTACGTAAATTCAACCCATGGTCATTTAACTTGCATCGTGCAATTTTTAACGCATGACAAATACGATATGTATGTGGTGTTATATTTTATATTCTTATTAGAAGTTATAAAGTATGTGTAAAGGATCGATTAAATTAATTCGAATGTAGCAAGAAAAAAAAATGTCGAGCAAAGCGAGAACAATTTTTTCTAGTAAATAATATCTACATTTTTTAGCGCGTATATAACCCATAAAATATATTTACCAATACGCCGCTGCTCGGGGGTTTGTTCACGCAAAACGGATTGTCAGTCGTCTGCGTCGAGCGGTGAGGGGGGAGGTTATGGGATGGGGCCTCGTTCGACGGGCTACGGGGGTAGGTGCGTGAACGAACCCGACGCGGGCCTGAGAGCAGGAAAATATTCAGACTTACTTCTAGGGGGAGGATAAATTCAAATTTTTTCTTTAATTCCGGCTCAAAATCTACAAGTAAAATTCTCGGTAATATTCAAATCAGGTGAATCTTTAATATTTATGTTTTTTTTTTTTTTTTTTTTTTTTTTTTTTAATTCTAATGCTGGATCCGCTTAGAATCAACTTTTGTGTAGTTCTTTTTTAACACCTGCCTGGGTTTTGGAAATTACGATTGTGTTTATTTGATTTTTCACCAAGTACGGACCCGACAAAAAACCCAGTTCAGCTTCACAGCCACTCGTAATTTGATTTCATTATAAAATTATTTTCATTAAAAAAATTTGTAATGCGTAACTTACATATAATCGATTCCTTAAATACGATCGCACCCTTCACTGCCCCCTAAAATACGTCCTTGCCGGGAATACTTATATCTTTATTATTATAATTGCTATTATTATAATAGAGTTATTACGGCAAGTGTCGGAGTCATGGCGTGGGTGATGAAATGTCGTGGCAAAATGGCAAGTGCGAAAAAAAACGACACCAAATTCCACGGCGACATGTGTTCGCGACAATAATGATACGCGCAAAATACTGAGCCTGTGTAATCGTTCACCGCCGAGGTAATGCGGTAACCGTATGGGTACGCGTACGCGCTGAAATTAACAGTTTCGTATTGTTCCTGCGGATAATTGTTGCAGTTGAAACATGTAAATAATAGACAATAACCACTGCCGAACCGATGTTTTTCCCTAATTATTGTTGCATTGTAGAGGGGGGGCTAGTCACAATTGTTGTTGCATTATTTTATTTTTATACGAATTGCTGTCTCTTTTACAATTTATTTTTTTTTTTGTTTCATCCGACGATTTAAAAGCAAACCAAGAGTGCAGTTCTTAACGTATTCATGTTATAACATAAATCGTAATATCGTTTTAAAATTTAACAGAGTTTCGTTCGTATTGTGTTTGAATTGCGAATGATCGTAAAACGACTGGTCAGGTAAGAATTTTCATCGATTATATCTGTGATAAATACACACTTTTCATTCCATTATAAAAAGTTACGTAAAAAAGTACAACAGTATGATTACATTTAAATAATTTTTACGGTACAATTATAACTATTTGAAAATATCTACCAAAAGTTGATACGAAAATTACTACTAATAAATTGCGATTGGATAATTGTGTCTACAATATTTGACTATGATTTAAAATTAACTTTCATTCATTTTTTAAATATAACTATTATTACTTTTTTTTAATATTCTTTATTAAAATTTTGTTATATCAAAAAATAAAAATTAATACTGGAAAAATCGAAACGTTTAAATTTTTTTATGTACCCTTAGTTCTTAGGGCTAACTAGTTTGCTAAGAGAAAATTGCATTTATTGTAAAAAAAATATAATCTTACTGTAAATGAAATACGTTCATTACTTCACTCAGAATCTATAAACTCTATTGATATTAAAAATTACAAAATAAAAATATATTAATATTTAAAATAAATATTCTCATTCATTACACAACGTATTATGAATTTTCGAAAAGAAATATTTTAATTTTTCAAGTGTATACAATATCGTACACTTTGATATTCAATACATGGACGAATTTTTCCAACATTTTTACTTTATAACACGTAAATAAATAAACTCGATCCTCTAAAGCAAATCACAAATGCAGCATAACACTAACGCGTAATCCGTATTGAACCTATTGATCTGTTCACAAGCCAATTTCTGCTGTAGAGATTCAATTTCAGATGTGGTTCCGGGCAAAGGACAACGTACCGAAGGATCGATTGCTTTTTGTGGTAACCTCTAAACCGTCAAACATTTTATACGGCCTGATTACTATTTGTGGCAACATTCTCTCTACCATACAGTCATATATATATATATATATACAAGCATGTTATGTTTTCCATCTGAAGTTAATGAAACTTCAACTGAAAATCCAACTATGACGCTTGTCAATTAGATTTTCGTAAAGTCAAAACACTTGAATATTAGTTGATTTTTGTTAATATTATTATTTCTCCTTTTTTTTTTTTACGGTGTTAATAATGTTTTCATTTCCGTTTCAATATTATTTTTTTCTTCAGCATATCTTTCGATGATTATAATAAATTATATAATAAAGCTTTACACAACATAATTTAGTATTTTATTATTTTTTTTAAAAGGGTGACCATTATCGAATGTTTTTTAAAATTACATTAGTTGTACATGCAACACCGTTATCTATAAGTTATAATTGTTTGCAATGATGTATAATTAATGGACGAAGGTCTTTTTAATAAATGTGATGATGACATTCGACTTGGGTGGAAATATATTCATTATATTTTTCATCGGTAGTTATATTTTATACCCAATAATTAATCATCATGTCAGAATAATAAACTTTTTTTTATATAAATAAAAATCGAATCAGTTATTAAAATATAATTTTGAAAATTATTTTTATAAATTTTATAAATAAGAACACTATAGTCAATCATAAAAAAAAAAACCATTAGCCCCGATGAAACTTGACAAAAATATAATTTTATATTACATTTTACTAATCAAATAAAGTATAATATAGATAATCCGGCACTACGTCAGTCCGGCAATCTCAGTATCCAATATGTTCTTATCACATTGTAAAAATTGTATTTCTTAATTATTTTATTATAAGATGATATTTTTCAAATTTCTTGAAAAATTTAAAATGTGTGTATGGTAATAATATTTAATTATATTTATCCAAAAAAATTTGAAACTTTTCATAATCACTTATCAAATTAATGTAATATATATATATTTGTTTTTAAAAAAGAAAATCATTAGATGTCCCACACTCGTAATGTGTGCATCTAAATTAATCGTTAATTTCTATTTTATTAAAAATCAAACCAAATACTTGACCGTTTTTGTTATGAAAATTGTCAAAAAAACAATAATTTTAAGTGTTCTTTAACAAAAGAAACTGTCCGTCTGGGGCCAAAATACTCCAAGACACGACTTTTTGTAAGTATTTTAATTACTCAATCCCGTATTCCCAACCACGTATCTTTCACTTACGTAACATCACCTAATTAAAATGAATACTAAAATAATTAAAACTATCTCCCCAATTAAAATTATCAAACAAAACACCATGTAAAGAAAAAACACACACAATAGCCAGCCATCCTACTCCGATAATAATGATGTTTTTAATTGCGACTGGACTGAGGTCGATTAATTTAAATCTCAAAAACGTTTAAACTCCGAAAAACAAAATCCGTTATCAAAAACAGCCAAAACTACGACGAGCATACAATTTTCTTCCAGTAATAAACTCAGTGTCCTATCGCAAAACGAAGACGGATATGGAAAATAACCAAATAAACAAAATCCTGAATCACCTCCACCAATATTTATTAAAACAAAAATCTAAAGTTATCAAGTTTTTTGCGAAAAAATAAAAAATATAATCGAACTGACCGACGATTATACTTGCAAAAGCTCTATCGAGTCTCTTAAACTTAATACTACCTCGTCAAATACATACAAAACTATAATTAGATATCTAAATGAATCAAAATTAGAATTTTTCACTTATCAAATAAAAACCGTATCGGATTTTTATCAGAAATTTACATCCTACCACTGATACCGATTACATAAAAGAAAAAAAAACTTGAAAAAGATGGATTTCAAACGAGAAATTTCACAAACGCTCTTCATAGAGTTTGAAAAATACATCTACTCCTATTTTTTTTAGATCTAGAACTAGCACTAAACAATAAAAACATATTCGAGCACAAAACTCTATGTCATACCAAAGTCAAAATCGAAGCACCTTGAATCAACAAACTAGCACTACAATGTTTAAATTGCTAAAACTACGATCACACCAGAACTTACTGCAACAACCAATCGAGATGTGTCCGTTGTGGTGAAAATCAAAGAACTGACACATGTACCAAAAGTTGAAAGCTCCCTGCTAAGTGTGCGTTATGTAATGGAAATCACCAAATTATCGTGGATGTCTTATTTTCAACAACCTGCAACAATTTTGAAAAAACAACTACCAAGCAAAAGGAACACAAACATGATCGAAGAAAACACAAATTGTATAAGCTCCATCTTGTACAACCCAATTTTCAACAGTACTTCATACCCAAATAATTCAAATAACAGCCAAGCCTATTCTCAGGCCACCCTACAGCACAAAAATCCGATATACACAAATAACGAACACCAAAACCAACAAAACGAAAACATGACTACCCAACTGAACTCCTTTCCTTCTTTCTAAATGAATTAACCTCATTAACCTACTTATTTCACTTTTAACAACAGTCATCGACAAATTAACAGTATAAAATGTCAAACGTTAACAATCAAACTTCTCCTTAATCAATACTAATCTGGAACAAAAATGGATTAACCCACAATAAAAATGAACTTTACCACTCTACGACAAAAAAAAATAAATATCGCTCAAATTACAGAAATCCACCTAACACCAAAAGAAATATTTCAACATACCAGGTTATACAACACATCGAACAGATTACCCCGATGGTACTGCGATCTTAATGTCCACACCATGTCATTACACTAAAAAAAAAAAAAAACGGTTCTTATTTTATAAACCTATCAAACTAATTAGGAGGTACTATTGATGGACGGTTTTCTCCCCTCAAGATATACATTTCATATTTTATTTTATACATTATAAAATTTACTTATTTTACTATTTGTTGTATATATTGTGAATATGTATTTTGATTAAAAAAAAAAAAATTTAAAAAAAAATAATGTTTACTATTCAATTACTCTTAAAACATAGAATTGTTATTTAATTTAATATATTTATATTATATTTTATATTTATATTTTATTTAATATATTTATAATCTGGCTGTACTATTTTCTCATGTCACGAATTATTAAGATTATACTGTAGATTATTCATCATAGTAAAATATCATGTATCTATAAAATATTGTTCGTAGAATAAAATGACTTATGTGGAAAAATGACATCGTGTTGATTTCAATAAAACAGTTTTTATAGAAGTTGTTGTAAATGTGAAGAGCGAAAACATGATTTTTTTTTTATACATTCAACATTTAGCAAAAGACAACTTCGTAACGTATTATATCTTGACAAGGGTCAAAAGAGGTTAAAGAGTTTTTTTTTTTTTTTTATCGCAAAAACAGATGGAATTCCAAATGGCGAAACTGTAAATTTATTTTTTCGTGAAATCGATCCTTTTTATTCTTTTTTTTTTTTTTTTAAAGACCGTTGAATGTCTCTGGAATATGCGGTTTCGATAAATTGAACAGTTTTTAGTTCAAGAGCTGGCCGTACATATGTTGATTGCATACAACTTGTTAATATATTTTATAATATTTTTACAAAGGGTCCTAGTCAGCATTTGTAATAATATCTAATTCGTCAATGCGTATTGTTGTGATAAAATCATTGAATACAATTATAATAATTTTATCATTGATAAAAACAAATTGACTCTTACAGTGACACCACTAGCTTCTCCGACGGTACGTTGTGCTTCAACTGAAATATTAGCTCGGAGAAGTAACGTATTGTTTTATGCAACAGTACACTCAGGTCTTGGAGTTACGTCTATAAGCCGTAGATGTTATTCGTAGGATAATAATCGCAGAAATGATGTTGACATTTTTTTTATTTTTTTGTTTTTTATAGTTAATATGGCGTCAACCACTAAATTACTCATCTGCTTATTAGTTTCTGTTTTATATGTAAGTATATGCACTACCTTTATAACGTATCTATCGATAACCGAATCATTTGAAACTAGTGTTGACGATCCGAATTTAGTTTTTACAGATGGTTAATGTTATCAAGACAGATAAAGCTCCTAAAATTAATGGTGAGGATACGTAAAATTATTTGCATAACATTTATTTTCTTTTGTTGATATGCGATAATCATCTGGAATATTTATGGATTATCATTATTGGGATATAAAACTACATTTTGTATATGTAATAAAGGAAAAAAAGGAATAGATTTATATAATTAAAATTTAAAAAAAAAATTAGTAGCTATTCTATATTTTATGATTTTATGTTCCTATTACCTGTATATATTTGGTGTCTCGACTAGAACAAAGTAGACGAATGGCCACTAGTTAGTAGGTTGAAGCGTCTAAAAATGTCTGTTTACGCTAATGCATAAGACAAAAATTATAACCCCCCCCACGTCTACGCATTCGTTATTTAAGCGTACGCATTTCCACCGACGACCACGACGGAATCTATCCGCTTGTTCATGTTACACGAGCTAAGGATAACGGGTTTTCAGTGTATAGGACTCGGAACTACATGACTGAAAAAAAGATTTGCAGATTAGACTATTTAAAAACTGTTGGCTTCAAATTTCAAATGATATTAATATTTATTTAAGGTACTCATTATAATATTATACCTACTACTTATATATAATTTAAATTTAAAATTTTTTAATTAATTTTATAATCACTAAAAGCTTAATAATTTTATGATTTTAATAAAATACACTTCCTTTTTGTAAAATTGATTTGCGCTTATGGGTTGTTAAAAAGGTAATTTTTTTTTTGCGGTTTTGGGTTGCGTTTGGGTCATATTTTGTGCTTATGGGCTATAGCCTACTGGCGTTCAGCATGTCCGTCTGTATCACTCGCCCTAGAATGTATATTATTTTTATTATTTCGGATGCATTACCAATCGATCAGTACAAAGGAGTGCACTCGGATCGTCGGTTAGGTACTATCAGGTTTGCACTGACGACATGGTCGAGTGTTTTTGATCGATGGGCACGAGCAGTAAAGAGAAATGTGCACGTTATGTACGTGCAACGATGATATGCTAGTGTGAATGTCTATAAGGGACGACCGAATGCGAAATCTTAGGAAGAGATTTATGTTCCCGACAGTTCCGTGCGCAGGAACCGTCAAAAGAGAGGGTGAGGAGGAAACAATTATGTATATGTATGTTAGGTTATAAAGTCGATAAAAAAATACAGGTTGGAACATGTGCGATCAAAAATATCCGGATAGAAAATCAATAAATGTCAACAAATGTCTGAACAGCTGAATCAGTGAACTAGTCAGTGAAAATCCGTTCTTTTTATTGAATTTGTCCTATTATATTTATGGGACTATGACTGCTCCGTTGGATCAATGTGAAACAACGCAAAACGCTATTTTAAATTAACAAATTTACGAGAGAAAAAAATGTTACATTATTTCCTGCAAGTTTCGTGAAATCCCAAAGCGTCGAAAAGGCAAAACTCGGTTTGTAGTACAATTTTTTATTTTTTCGTTTTTTATATGCGTAACCGATTAAAATAATTGTCTTCGTAGTCCGTGATGTCTGCGCCAGATACTCTTTTCAGCTAAGACAATGAATTACAAAAAGAAAAATTAAAAAAAAAAAAAGACGTCTTCACTATTATCAGCCACAACGTTGAAATTTTATGCTAAAATACCTCTACAACATTTACTTGCATTTGCTCAACTACAAATTTCAAACGAAGATCAAAATATTCTTTGTCTTGATCAAAAAAATATTTTGTATTAAAAAATAACAAAACGAATGAAGTCTAAAAAGAATAACTAAAACGATAAATTAATGTTCATATTTTACAAGTATAATTTGGTAATCAGTTAGGAAATCTGAAAAAAAAACTCAATTAGAATACATAATTACATAATAAGTTATGCACTTTAGATAATATTTTTTTATTATAAGTTCAGTATTTGTCAATTTTAATTTAATAATAATGTCAAGCTAATTTGAATAATCTCTACGAGTCCGAAATTTTTCACAAGACATTATTTACACATTTTCCAATTTTCTTATTTACAATTATATCAATTGTCGTGCTGTTTCCATCACCAAACAATATATTAATCAGTTAATTTTTTCAATTCTGTCCATTCCGAATTAATTGAGTAGTTGAAAATAAAAATCCACATATTAGTGATTTAAAATATTCGAATAGATGATTTAATTAAAGTTATTCTAATTGAATACAAAGTTTTAATAGCTGATAACTAACATTCATCTTTTTGAAAATTAAATTGCTAAAGTAAAATACATTTTTTGAATATTTTAATTTAACGTTTACATAATTTATTTATTTTTAATTAGATCTGTTTATACAAGACATTTTATCTTTGAACATTTATTTTTTTCTTTTGACCGAATTTCTAAAGATTGTACCAATCATACCAGTGCTTTTAATGATAAAATAAATCAATCGACTCTTTTCGTTTGTCTAATAACGTACATTTGTTCAGCTAAACATTATTGATGGAAGTATTTGTAAGTAAATAGTAAGTAATATGTAAGAAGCTATTAATATTCACCGAATATTGGACAATAAAATCATAGACGTCGTATATTGCATATTTTGGAATATTTATATGAGGTTTCAAGTTATTACTGTAGTGTTACGAAAATGTATAATAACATTTTCAATACCTATTCACTAACAGTCCCGAAGACCTTTCGATTTTTAACCAAAATCACAATGTTGCGGTAATTATTTATGTTAAAAAATATTTGGCCTTAAACGTGAGTAGTGAAGGAAATATATAAGATTTATAAGATCAATACGTTGGTCATCTTGTTCGTAGAAATTAGGATGTAATAAATTGAATGATCAAAAAGCATTGAATTGCCTACGATTAAGCGAAAAATAAACGACTAGTGATTTATTACGGGCTTCATTGATTGTCTTATAAACCGATTCAAACGCTCTAGTTAATATTTTATTTCAATGTGGGTGTTATTTATAGATGTCTATCTTTATAATGAATAAAAAAAAAATCCTAAAAATGTGTCATTATGAAATAATAAATAATATTTGGGACTTGTACAGTTCCAAACCAAGTTTGATGATTTTTTTGTCTTACAATTTCTTTCGAGTAATTCGATATTTCATGTTTATAAAGAGGAGATTGAACAAGCGCCTTTTATAAAAAATATGAATACCATCATCAACAGTAGAGGAACTAAGCTAGCACAGAGTATTATTGGTACAGCAAAAGATAACCTGGTCAAATATGGTGAAGAATGGGTTGAGACAATGAATAAAAATCATATGAAAAATCGTCGAAGTAAGAATCAATGTTTTTTTCTATTTTTCCCTCCTAATGATTCCTAAACGAAGTTAACTTGTAATGCTTTTAATTTTATATAATATCTCAAAACGTACTACATTAGCATAATTTTACACATAAATATTGAACAAAAAAAAAATTATATACTTCTCTTTATTTTTATTTTGCAAAATAGGTCAAAAGTCATTAACTCCAGATATAATCAAGTATAATTTAGTAGATCCATCCAAAGCCTTTTCTCAAGTTGGTATGAGAAAACTATCGAATTTGGGTGCAGAGATCAAAAAAAAGTATACTGATTATGATAAGTCAAATGGTAAGTTTTTCATGGTATAAAAAGATTTTTCTTTACACTATGTATACACTATATATATACATATATTATACACATAAATATTCGTTGGGATTATCGACTTACTAGGGACCATTTACTGTTCGAATCAAGGAAAATCGTTTACAAGGAAATTCTCACATGAACTTAGAACTTATAAAATTAATTTGCTTCGAAGAACCTTTAGAATCTTTCGAAATAAGATTTTTACTTTTGAAACTCACCTCCTCATTTGCAAAACTTGAAATTCAATTAATCCAGTTGTGACACATAATGTCGTCAAATTCTAATTTTAATGCAGTTATTATGATATAGTCTTATAAAAATAAAAATAAATTGTGTTTTTTTTTAAATCTATCGCACATTGAAATATTAAGCTAAATATTATTTTATTTTATACATTTTTTATGTAAAGAACTGTCAGGACCTAGATTATAAATCCTTCAAAGATTATTTTTATAAATTAAATTTAACATGTTAGGAGGTGGTCAGTGATGGAGCTATATTAATTAATAAATAACATTTTAGAAACATCGTTAACTGCATTCAGGCCCATCAGAAGATTATCAAGAAAACCATTATCATTTGGTCGGGCTACAGTAGATGTTTTTTCGAAGAAAGCTAATGATTTTATAGACAAAATATCGACGGATTCAAGAAAAAAATAATGACCAAGGTACTAAGAAAGGTACTTATACTATTTTAATATAATATTAATTAATTTAAAATGGGTGATAACTTGTGGATTATAATCACGAGTATCACAGTAATATTTATTTCGGTAGTAAGACGATAAATTGGGTAGCGAAATATATAAATGATGGTTTCTAACTGTAATGACGATTATTTTTGGTAATCTTAAAAATATTTCGTTGAGAACGATTGTATTACATTTTTAAAAGTAATATGAAAACCGATAACAAACGATAAATTTCATATGAATTACATTAATAATTTTTATTAATTTTGGTTTTTACATATACATACTACATTCAATGAAGTGAGTGAAGTCACCCCCCCCCCCCCCCTCCTTTGTCCTATCGACCAAGCCTTTACCAATATTTTGGAACTAATTTGGGCCTATTTGGCACTATTTTTCAAAAATTTGGAACTTCACATTTTTCCAGAAAAAAGATTTTTGGTTAAGGGAAACTTTCCACTATCATATCTACTCGTACTTTGAACATTCATCAATATTTTGGAACTTATTCGAAACTAATTAGAATCTAGTTTTCTGAATTACCTATTGTGAATACAGATAGTAATAAGTATACATAGTAATAGTAAACAAATAGTAATAATAAATTTAAATTATGAGATTTAAAATTTATTAATGCTTAAAAAAAGAAAATGAGCTATCTAAAAATTGCATAGTTGAAGTTTCGAAATTGTATTCCTTAGTACATACTTAACATCATGTTTTTAAAAAATCTGTTTTTTATTAGCTAAAGAAATTAGTTTGCAATACTAGTATCTATAATTTTTATAATATACCACAGAACATTAAAAAAAAAAAAACATATTGAGCTTACCCTCAACGGAAAAACTTTTATTCCGGGAAAAGGGTAAAGTTCCAAATTCTGAAAACTTAGTTCCAAATAGTTCCAAAATATTAATGAAGGTTTAAAGATGATAGGACAATGTGGGGGGGGGGGCAACTTCACGGATATAATTCAATGCATATAAATCTAATTTTGCCTTTGTTTTCTCAAATTTTGGTTATAATAACTATATGTCAGGATTTAAACACCAAAAAGTCGTTTTACGATACGATCATTATACTTAGTTTTACCCGTCATAGAATATTATGTTTAATCAACTTTTGAGTATATTTACCTATAATATACCTACAAAGGTAATGTTTCCCAGCAGGTGACATGAAATTTCAAAAGTTTGTTATGAAAACTTAAAATTTTTACTTTAAAAACCATTAAAATATAAATATAGTAATAATAATAATATTGTATAATATTAATATAATATAAATAATATATAATATATATTATAATTCAGTTGCACGCAGTTTGTAGACAAGCATGCACGACCGTCGATGTCCACTCGTTTCTATTTATTAACTGCACTGTCGCGATTATCATCGCACCGGGTGACTTTGAACGTCCTCCGCGTTGGTCTCGGCATGCCGCCATCAACGGGTCAAAAACAAAACCGTTACGCCCTTCTCTCTCCGGATCGTCCCAAACCAATTCAAAGTCGCAAAAGAATAAAGCCGTTTCTCCTTCCGTAAATTCATCAACGTTTAAAAAACCAAAAGCTTCCACGAAAAGACTCCTCCATTATCTCCGTTAACACGCACATTATGTAACATTGATTTGGACGGCACAGTCGCTGCCGAAAATATCACGTTTTAAAGCAGCACCCACACTAGATATGTTCCGTAACGTTACGTTTCTATACGGCTCGGAGACGGATGGAGACGTGACGTGACGGAACGTTGAAAAGGCGCACAGTGGATACGTTTTTTCCCCCTTGTTATCGTTGTTTGAATCGTCACTCTGCGTTTGACATCGTTTGAAAACAGTATGTGTTTCGCTCAAATTTATTTATTTTTTTACTTCAACTTCGCTTTAATGCCTTAATTTTTAACTTGAAAACATTGCCACTAATCGTTCTTGTTCCGAGTGGACCACCCAAAGGGAGGTAAAAAAAAAAATGGCCAATAAAAATAAATCTTATGCCGAAGCAGTTCAAATCAAGCGTTCCGGAGTTGTACATAAAGGCCATACTTACGCCGAAGTCTCTAACCTTAATAAAATTAGCTCATTAATACCTAACTTTGTACAGGAAGCTAGTTCCAACCTCCCTCTGTCATAATTTCCATCCTTATCAAACTCCTAATCTTATAAAAAAAAAAAAATTAAAAAAATTTAACTCTGTTCCTCGCAATTTACCTCAGTTTCCTCGTGTTTATTCGCAGTACATTCCTACTACTTCCCCAAACGGTAGTTTTTTCAATTATACCGACCAATCTATCCCTAATTTTCTTAACAGCAATTTCATAGAATCTCTTGCTGAGCAAATCACTTACGCATTTCTTCAGTCTTCCAACCCCCACAATAACTTTCCAACTGCTTAAAATCTCTAATTAGGTTTTCTTTATTTAAATTTTTATCCCCTATCTCAGATGATGATGAGACGTACTAACAATCGCACGTCATCTTCACCTCAATTTCCTACTAACTCCAATGACGCCTACAAAATTCTTCAATGGAATGTCAGAAACATCCATTCTCGTTCACTGGACCTCGTCTCTATTCTACATTCGGAATTTTGTTCTATTTCCCTTCTGTCCGAAACCTGGCTTCGAACCGGTCAAAAGTATTCTTTACCAGCTTACAATCTTATTCGTTCGGATCGAGTCGATGGATATGGTGATGTCGCGATCACTATTCACCAATCTATCTACATCAAAGAGATTCCTATTGACGTCCCTTTTAGAAACAACCTACTGCTTCAATCTATTAACTTAGTTGGCATCAAAAGCTTCATGAAACAGATTTCCTGCTTTAAATTGCCTGCCTTCAATCTCCTTTCAATTCACCGTAAGCTTCTTTTTAACTCTTGGCAATCCAAATGGTCCTCTTTACCACCCAATTTCGCCTCATGACACAGGCATACCGTTCCTGTAATTCCTCGAATCCCATGGTTTAAGAATTTAAACTTATCAAAGTGCCTGATTGTGGCATTCACTCGCCTTCGCATGTTTACTCAGTTTGCTACCTCATCATTCCTTCAAGCTTTCTCTAAATTCTTCTCCACTATGTACTCAACATTACGAAGAATCAATTTTCGATTTCAACCACTTATTTTTAATTGTCCTTCCTTTCTGCCAAATAAACAACTCCTTTTTCATTTCTATCATATTTTGGCTACATCACTCCAGACTCAAATTTCCTTCTTAATTCTCGTTCCACTCCTATTATTTCTTCCATAATTAATTTTATCCATTTTACTGGCTTCCTTATTTAAACTCGTTAATTGTTGTTTTATATATATATATTTTCCTTTTTTCTCTTTCCTATAATTAGGTATCATAACTTATTATGTAATTATTTTTTCCTTCTCTTTTTTTTTTAAAAAATATTTTTTTTGTTATAATATTTCTAATAAAATCAAATACTTATATAAAAATAAAAAATAAAATAAATATACTATAATTATTTTAAACAATATCAAAAACAAATAATAAAAAAAGAAACATAATATCAGTTTACGAGTTATATTATTACACGCATTTACGTTGGTTTTCCTTGTTCTATAGTACTTATTTTCGACAAATAGTAAATGGTTATCCTAAGTTTTCCCCGTGACTTATCATAAATAATATTATAATGACTTATAACGGAAAAAAAGAAATTGGGAATCACTGATGAGTATATATATATATACATCATCAAGCCACCGATTTATTTTAATGATTTGCAATATTTGTTCCACATGGTGAATCGATGATGTCTAGTGCCGTATATTATGCGTTCGGAATTATTGAAAAATATTGTTAATGCGTTATTCTCGACCAAGTGAATTTTGTTCAAGTATGTGTAAACCATTTCGTTATGTTCAGATTAATTTTATTGTCATGAGTAAATATGTCGGTCTTATAAAAGTGATTTGCCGCTATATCCTTCTCTATCTCCGTTCATCCATTGCTTACTGATTCAAAAACCATGTCATGCGAATAAAAATGTAGGTATTTTATACGCAGTAGATAAAGCTTGAAGAAAAAAAAATTAACAATCGAACGTTATTTTAAACAGAGTAAACAGTAATATTTACATGAAGGGTCAAACGTATGAAATTTTCGATTGTATACGAATATAAACGTCGTTATTATGCATGGTGTTATCACTGAGTGCCCCATATTATTTGGATGACTAATCCCGAAATTCGTTCAATTCTTGTCAAGCGCGTATCCGTTATTCAATAATAACCTCAATGTTTTGGTATAAAATATTGTTGAATAGTAAAATAAAAAGTAACAGAATTCGCCTTCCATTATAAAAAAAAAAAAATAAATATAATTATACATACATATTACCGAAAATTAAATTGTTAAAAAAAAAAATATTTGATCATGTCGATTATTTATATGTTTAGTAAATATTAATTTGTACTGTAATTAGTTTAAAAATATATCTACATCTTGCAATGGATAAAAAAAAAAATACCATTTAATATAAATAAAGAATGTACAATTTAGTACAATAATTCAATTTATTTATTTTAATAGATTATTTAACTAATGGTTTACATTTTGAATTAAATCAACGTGCAGTGTACAATTTAGTGTTAAGTCCTTAAATAATCATACTTATCTGTGGTATTCCTTTTCAAAAAAATTTTTTTTTAGTGTAAAATATAAGACGCGTGTATTTAATATAATTATTTAATTTAAATAATAACTTTATAAGATTTGATAAATGTAGACGTTTTTTATTTATTTTCAGAGTGATTAAATAAAGTACAAGGTCTAGAAAAACAACAGAAGGAAGAAATATAAAATGAATAATTGGTTTTCCTGATTACAGTTTATTATTTATGATAAATTATTGTAATTTGGGCTTATTATTAACCATCACATTTCAAGAAATATCTAACACAAATAAATTCAACAAAAATAAAATAACTTTTAATTGACTATACAATAATTTTTCAGTGAAGTTCAAAAAAGTCGCAACAAGTAATAATAAAACTAATATTTTAAAATAAATATAATTGATTGAAAATAACCTTCAATGAATTGAGATGGCTGTAATTATTATTTGATAATAGAATATAGAATATATATATTGCATCTGTTGAGTACATTTATTTTTAATCATAAAACTATTCTAGTTTGAAATTTAAAGCTGATATTAATATATTTATCAAATTATTAATGATGTAACTATGTATAACTTTTGTTATCACATATAAAACCAGGTAAAGTTTACCGATCAAACAATTTTTTGTAGTATAAACTATACTTCAATATTTTTTATAATAATGCCTATGAAGATTTAGTGGCATTGTAGAATCAAATCCAACAAAACTACAAGCCAAGTATTAAATCAAAATCATCTACAAGGTCATACCATCAACTATAAGATTTTTGCAAAATTCTAGCTTCACAAGTTTATCATGAAAAATAAATTACTTTATTTTATATTTTGAACTGATCTAGTTAAAAATTATATATCTTTTTTAAATATTTTATTAAAAATTTATCTTAATGTGTCTCATATATCAGTGTATATATATAAATAATTATTACTCACTAGTTTTCCAACGGTATGTTTAAATAGTAAATTATGAATCATTCGTAAAAACTAAATCAGTCTGAATAATATATTGTAAATAAAAGTTTTATATTGTGCTGACACATTTTCTTCGAACAATTATTGACAGTAGCATTTTTAAGGAGGTGGTAGAAAGGGGCAATTTCCCCGAGCAGCAAATTTCAAGGAGCCTGACATTTTATTTGAAAAATACTGATTGAAAAAGTTTTACGTAAGACATAATCGTTATTCGTGTCTACTGCATACACTTCAATTACATAAATATACTCAACCAAATACGGGTAATTTCGGAAATAAAGTTTGGTTATACATAAAACACGATAAGAAATCACAGACTATCTATATTGATTTAACGCTTTTTTTTAAGACTATACACAACATTAATTCACAATGTAACAGATTTAAGACACACTTTTTCACTCTATGAAAAAATTCGAAATTAAAGAACACAAAGTTAACCGTAAAAAAGAAAAGTGCCATACGATGAATCACGTCAAGGTGACACATCGTTTAAAGGCAGTGAATCGTTTAAAATAAACACATATTTTTCCATAATTGACTCTTAATTTCAGTTATAGGGAAGCGTGAAAACATTTATAATATTATCAATACTACATTTGGATTTTTTTCAAATCTGATTTAACAATATATAAATTAAGAAACAAAACTACGAAAGTTAGAATTCTGAAGATCTCGATGGATCATTTATAAATCAATGTACTCGTTTTTATGGATACTTAAATGTTTACCAAAAAACGTACTATCAAAAGTAATTTTAAAGTTCTGCAAAACCATCGATTATCAAAGTATAGCAAATGTTTATCCGTTTGAATGTATTCCATTACGTAATTATTTATGCTGTTTGGTTTCTAATACTTTAGCTGAATGGAAATTTATTGTTCTGAAAATAACGAGATCCTACTTAAGATCTTCAATAAACGACAACTGCTTAAATAATTTGTTGATTTTGAATATAGAATGTGAGATTCCCAAATTAATTGGTTATAATGAAGTAATTGTAGATTTTACTGCCCAAAAATCTCATCATATTATAAAAATGAATACGGTTTTTTTGTTTAGTTAAATGTTACAACGTAAATTTTCTATATTATATTATGTCCTATGTATGAAATTATATATTGTTATTTTTGATTTTCAAAATATTTTTCTGATTATCATAAATAAAATCGTGTTAAAAATGTTTTTTTAAGCTCTTATACAAATATTATGTAGGTGCTCTGGACATTAAATCTCGAAATACACCACTGATATTTAAGAAACAGACATTTATCATTTTTATTACGTATATGAGTGTAAATTTATATGTGAATTTCAAATGGTTTTATTCGATTATAAATGATTAATCAATATTGATGTATCAAGTCCGAAACTAGTGGAGTTGTGTAATTCCATAATATGGTATTTTGTATGTAGGTATATTATATGGTTAAACTAATATACATTTATCGTTCCACTCTGACTCGGGACGTATACCGAACATGGATTACTATTACAGTGAATCCTGTATATAACGAATAGTAATGGAACCAAAATAATTATCCATTATAGACAGATGTTCGTTTCAGACAGGTTTCAGTATTTTAAAAGTCAAACTATTGTACAAACGTTTAATGAATAATGTTGCATATATATTATATTGTTATAATATTATTATTGTATTATTATATTCTTCGTCATTATTATTATATTAATTTATAATACATATTAATAATAAATTTAATTTTAATATTTCTTAGAAAATAATAGCACTTATGTTTTTTTTTCTTTTACTTTTATTTGGTAATTTCTAGTTCGAAATGGATAATTAACTCACTCACGAGTGAAGACCATGAATACCATTTTTAATTACCCTTTTATCCAAATAAAACTCCTTCGGGCGACTACGTTGTTTAAGGGTTTCTGAATAATTTTCAAACATCTTAATTTCAGAATTTTCTATTTGGTTATCCAGCTTGCTTCCCATCATCGGCTTCCACAGAATTTAATTCAGGGCGAATTTTATCTAAAATTATAACTATATCATTTGAACTGCATTTGGTAGTCAATTTACTGACTATTGTGGCAAAATTGTCATTACTAGGTTATGGGAGAAATTCCATTAATTCGATGAATTCATTCCTATTCACTTCATTTTCAATTTTTTGAGGTTCACTGGACGGGAAGTATATTTATCTAAAGCATTTTATTATTTTCGATGAATAATCATTCGTTTACTCGTATTTTTCTCCCATGAAATTGCTTTTCATAAATTACATATTTTATTGAATATATATACATAACATATATAATTGAAAATGTCAATTATATAATAATATACACATACGTTTTAGACGGCAGATCATATAGGCAAATCAAGGACTTGATTAGATGAGTATTAACACCACAAAGCAAAATTTCTATAACTTATATTACAATTGTTTATAGTAATAAATCCTCTCTCCGGTAACATGTAATACCTAGTCTCACTGGTGAAAAGACAATTTATCAATAATTGATATAATTGATTATTCCACATTGTAGTTGTAACATCACCAGCATTCAATATTTTATTCTTAATATATTTCAACAACATTAAGACGAAACAAATAACAATGATGATTTAAATAAACCTATAAAGATTATTCTGGTAACTGATATTAATGTATACATTTTTATTTCGTTTCATGTTAGTTATTCATGACAGTATTTAGCAAAATGTTGTGCATTAAAAAATATTTAAAAAAAATAACTAAAATATAATTACTTTTCATTGGAAGAATGATATCGTCACTTAACATAGTCTATCAAATCATTTGTCAAATTATTCGTTTTTGCTTGTTTGTGGTCTATAAAAAAAAAAAAAAAAAAAAAAGTGAAGTGGTGATTGGCGATAGAATATCTTAAAAAGGATTTATGATAACCAAAGAAACAAAATATTTGGTTTTTTTTAACACTTACAATTTACGGTACCCAAATAGTAATATTTATCCAGGATTCAGGAATTAGTGGTTTTATCTTAGAACAAACTAGTCCATCCGTACCACAACCGATTCTCGGAATTGCTAATATAATTTCTTTCATTTTTACGAGAAGAAACTTTAAGGAATCTGACAACGATAACATTATCGACTGACTTTTGATATATTTTTTTGTCACTAGATAAAACTCATTTTCATTTTGGTTAACAATAACTCCGTCACCTACTGTAATATTTTTGTTAGTAAGTTGACCAATACCACCGAATAACTTCTAGATGAAAAAAAAATTATTTATTTGATTAATGGTAATTCAAAATATTTTTACTTGAATTTTTATGAGATTGTTTACTGTCATAATTATTCAGAATCACGTTCGATGTGGTGCGTATATTCTCAATATGATTAGTAAATGCATACAACAATCACGGTAATGATTTAAAACAATTATATGGAACATTAATTGTAACTTACAATAATAACCGTTGTTCGATATAATTTTTGATAAAAAATAAAAAAAAAAATTGTGGGCATGATAGCTCGAAAACTCGATGGCCAAAGACGATGATGAGCTCGAATTGGTGAAATACAAACATGTTTAAAAATTAGGCCTTGCGTTCTCCTGTGATAGATGAATTAGTATTCCGATATGATAATGCATGCTGCAAATTAGTGGTTCTCTTTAAAAAAAAAAAAAAAAAAAGGATTGTCGCTAACGTCCGGCGTTTTGATACAGTGCAGTTGAGTGCCAAAAAATTAGAATAAAATTGAATTATAAATATACATGCCTTTCAAAATGGTTGTGAAAATTATTTTATCCATTTTAACTCTCTTTGGTAATTCAGACACTGGTGAACATCGAACCACATTTTATTTTTAATTCATCACATAACAAAAATGAATTGGTATCCATGGTAAGGAACGCTTGTTTTGTAAATTTAAAGAACATTTTCAGCCAATAAATAAAACAATTTTAAAAGTAATTTGCATTTATAGTATAAAATATATCAGAAACTGCACTGTGTGTAATTATTTTGTACTATTCCATTTATAAACTCTAACAAAGTATTCTCTATGATCATTGGTGGCATTTAAACATCAAAATTAATTAACGAATATCTATTTAAAACTTTAATTTTATTATCTTACCTTTATTTTTACTTATATTAACAATAGAATTTCAGACATTAATAACATCTATAGAAACCAATTGAATATTTCTTGAATTGGGGAAAGCTTAAATACTGTTAATAGTAACCGTTACCGTGACACCAATCCCCCGTTCATCGGCTATGGCTCATCAAGTTGCAATTACGAATTTATATAAATATGAATAAAATTGGATATTAGAATACTATTCTTGGCCTTCAATTATTATTTAGTCATGGTAATGATTTCATTTTTTTCATTAACTCGAAGTATAATATACTTCATAGGATATTAACAATAAAAATAAGGTTAGCTATATAATTATAGTTT